TTTTTAAGTAAGTTTTATTGTTATTTTTCTACTAACAAAAAGAAACTAAAAATCATCAATCATCAAAAGAATCAGACCTGCTGGGTCAGCCTCCCCGTACTTTTTTTTTATAGTAATCCATAAACATACTTAAGTCTATGCATAGTCCCATTCTCTAGCCAATAATAAAAGGAATTCCAAGTTTGATAGAAGTCTGTATCCTCTTTCTCCTTGAGAGACAAAGTCAATCTGTCCATTTCCGCACAGTCCAAGATCTTTTTTAAAATCCGTTTGTCGGTAGGTGATTCTTCACTCCTCCAATGTTGGGCAAATGCAATCCTTGCCGTAGTAATTACATGTGGAATCAAATACATTGCTTGATTATCGACATCATCGGGTACAATGCCTAATAAGAAAACTTCAGGTTTAAATATTAGAGGTTTTTTGTAATATTCCCTCAAGCCATTTATGTATTTTAACCCAGTATTTTTTCGCCTTGTCACAAGTCCACCACATATGATAAAAAGTACCCGGTTTATATTTGCATTTCCAACATCCATTTGACATATTTGGAAACATCTTAGCTAATCTATTTGGTGATAAATACCATCTATAAAACATTTTATACAGATTTTCTTTATACGAGGTTGCTAATGTTACTTTAATATTTCTTTCCCACAGCTTTTGCCATTTCTGTAGTTCAATATTGTATCCAAAATTTTGTGCCCACATTATCATAGTTTTCTACAGAGCTTCTTGATTCTCTTGCTTTCTGGGGGGCCACCAGAACTCATAGAGGAAAGGGCTTGTTAATGTGTTTTTGGAGCTCTGGAAAAATCAGTTTCTAGCCAAACTAAGTAGGATCTGTCTAAGTCTTGTTTCTGCTATTCTGCTTTAGGCTGCTAGCACAACCCATCAGTGGAACTCAAAGTAACTTCAGGGCACAGTCCTAAGGCTGAGGCAGAAAACCACCGTACAGCTTCCAGCAGTTCTCAGTCAGCAAGTCCGAACGTACATGGAAAACTGTTTCACTGGGATTAAGGCCCAGCTGACACAGCAGGGCCTGTAGTTCGGCCTAGGACAGAACTGGAGGGGCTTTTGAATGTAGCCCATCTGTTTGCCCTTTCTCTGTAATACCTGCCCACATCCATTCCCCTGATTTCTATACTTCATCTCCCAGAATACAATCCTGATCTTGAGAATGTGCCTCCAGCTTTCAGAATCCCTCAGGGGCCTAAGGCTTGCTTTCTGTGACCAAGCTGGAGGATCTATTTATAGGCACAATGTCTCACCGGGCAGACATTTATGTGGGAATAAAGATCGGAACATCTAAACTATGATGGTGTGTGCCAAGGAAAGTGTCCTGCTTCTTAGAGTGACTGATTTGTCTTCCTGTTTAAGAAAAGGCTTTGTTCCCACCATCCCTGGCATATGTTTATTCTTCGGGAAAGCAATAAAACAAAAATATCCCGCTGACCAGGCAAATGTTAGCATTAATGCTTCCTTGCCACAATGTATGCCCGTGCTTAAGATCCGTAAAGGCAGATGAGGCGCTGTGAATGGATCTGTGCCGTGTTGCGCGTAAGGAGAGGTGGCTGCCAACTTTGGGAAGGGAGCATGGCTCAGCAAGCGCTCCAGTCTCCTGGCTCATTCCCTTGCCTCTCCAGTGGAACAGATCAGGTGGGAGGGGAGGGGAAAGGCCTTTACCTGCCTGAGATGTGCTGCCAGTCATAGAGCATACGAGGCTATATGTGCACAGAAAGAAGTGCACGTTTAGTCTGCTCCTGCCCCCCAGACTTGTGCTGCTCACCGCACCTCCAACACCCCCATGTTCACATGGAAGGAAGTGTCTCGCTCATGCAGTTCAGGGCACTGGAAAATCAGGGTTCTCAATCACGCAAGGAGCCTTCATGAGTACAGGGGATCCCTGCCATGCATGTGATGCTGTAAACAGGATCGTGTAATTTTTCAGCCCAGGACCAAATTCAGCTTGGGAGAAGGTATTGGGGGAACATGCAAGGGGTGGGTGAGGTCAAAGGCAAAATGAGACAAGACAAACGATGATAAATTATCAGCGTATTTTAGGTCTGAGCAGTCACTACTGGGGAAGAGTTTCAGCTCTTTCGAATGCCTGCATGGAGGGAAAGGTGCAAAAGTGGAAAAAGCTCCCGGTGACTGGTGGTTGGGGGGAAGGGGTGTGGCCACCTGGGGGGCCTGACGTTTCTCCCCCCTGCTAGCAACACTGCACAGCTGGGGCAGAAAGAGTGGCTTGGCTTTGAGGGAGGTCACGTCACCACTGCAGAGCCTCGAGTCATGCAAGTCATGTGTGAATGTGGCTGCCGTCTGACTGGAGCACGGCAGCATCCTGTGGTCCCCACGCCATGCTTCCAGGACTGCTGGAGGGTAGTGCTGAACTGCAAGCTGATGGAACAGGCCTCCACTTCGCACTGGAAGCCTGGGCGTGGTAGCAAAGACACTGCACTGCTAGGGAAAACCTTCACTGCCGTCCTCCAGCAGGCTAGGCTGGGAGCCGCTCCGTGCTACTGCCAGGGGACCGCGCATGGATGCCTCTGTGCCATGGATCTGCTATTTTTATACCTGGTTACCAGGAAAGGATTCCAAGGCTAGGCAAAGGATCCTGCGATCTGGAGGCTGACGCAGACTCCTTTGTCAGAAACCCCCGGCTGAGCCTTCCCCAAGCGGGTGTGCTCTTCATATACTTGGCCTGCAGCTCCCAGCATTCCTCCTCATTGACCAGGCTACCTGGGGCAGAAGAGGGTTGAAGCCCAAAACACCTAGCCTGGGAAGAGCAGCACTAGCCCCACTCATGAAACTCCTGAAAAAGAGGGAACAACTATTTCAAGGTTAAGTGCAGTGTACCTACATCCTTCATCCTTCTTTGCATCCGTCCATAGCTCTAATTGAATACAGAGAAATAGAAGCCTAGTGCAACATCACACATACACACCCGCACACATGACTGTGGGATTATGGGAGCTGCAGTCCAACAAAGCTGGAGGGCAGTGGGCTAGGGAAGGCTGTCCCAGGTGACTTGTCTCTGTCCCAGTCTGCCTTACCTCCAGGTAGAAGCACCCTCTTGCAAACTCACTTTTTGTGGTTTGAGAATAACATTGGACAACAGATTTCTCCCCTAGTGCAGAAAGCATTTGTCCTACAATGCTGTTTTAATTTCAATGAAAAAACCCCCCGTTTCTTCTGCACAAAAAGATCTGAGTCTGAAAGACCACGAGCTTGTGTCTTTATTCCTGTATTTTGCAAGGAATAATCTAATGTTGCCAGATCACTGAAATCACAAGAACTGGATGTTTACATCGAGCTTTCCTAAGCAAGGTGGTATTTTTCTTTTGTTACGGAACTGAGATCCAAACAGTTGTTTCTCTTTTCCTGCTTTTGTGCTACAGAACCTCTAGACGGCACTGCGCTACAGCAGAATATTTCAAACACATCAGCTTTTCATCCCATCTCGTTTAAATACCATTGCATTTTCCCTATTGTAACAAAACTCACTGAAAGAGTTGTTTGAAAACAGAAGCGAACCTGTTGCTTTAGACAAATGACATTGTCTAAAGCACTCATAAACAAGCGTGAGTAGTCAATGGTAAGGGTATAATAAACACTTCATGTGGAACAGTTCATTTTCTCCTAAAAGCAAGTGCCACAGTTATTCCTTTAGTGAAAGAAAGCCAACCTCTCAAAATTAAATCGGAAAACCTGCTCTTTAAACCAGAGGACTGTTTCCTGAATCCTGATGTGCAAAACTGGCAGAATTTCAATTTGATGAATAATACCCCATTTTCCCTGCACTAAAAGAACTCAGTGAGAGCGCTGTTTGAAAGCAGAAGCAAAACTGGAGTCATCGTGTTGTCTAAAGAACAGGTAAGCACCCAGCAGTGGGAATGATGAATGCAGAGGAAATGCATTGCAGAAATATTCTTGGCCTCTAGTGCATGCAACAGTTACCTTCCATGTGTCAGAGAAAGGCAGTCGCCTGAACAACCTCATCTCAGAGCCATAAGGGCATGTGGTATTCAAGGTAAACCATATATTCTTCATTAATTTGTTACTTCTCTATACTTTTGTTTATTCATTTGTTACTTTTCAGCATCCAAAGCTATGTGGGTGGTTTACAAAGAAGAAAATGCACACATTACAATATAATAAATTAAACAACATCCAAAAATAGAAGCATTTTTTAAAATCAACAGTAAATTAAAGGACCTATCAAAGACTTTATCATGTGCTAGCAGATTCCTGGGAGTAAAGCCTTGACTGGCTGCTGAAAAGACGATAATGTCCATGCTAGGCAGAACTCACTGGAGAAAGTGTTTCAAAGATGGGGGCCACCACTGAAAAGGTTCTCTCCCTTTTTCGCCATCTTCCAAACCTCCTTCAGTGGAGCTTTCAGGTGATGAGCATAGTCAATAGCAAAATCCTCAACATGGGGCACAGTTGCACATCCAGCAGCACCCACAAAGGGATCCTCAGTGTGGCACCTGTGAACACCTGCTAAAACTGCTTTTGCTTTACATATACATACATGGATTTGTATATATCCATAGCCATGGACACATGTTAAATGTATGCAAATTATTATATGCAGCTTTCTAGCAATTATACATAGGCTTCAGCAAAGGCAGACCAAATATTCAAATAATTATCCATTTGGAGGTGGTGTCTATATGCCACCCATTCAGTGTCATAGGGTTTCCTGTCCATTGGATTAGAAGAGGTGAGTGTTTATCCTTCCAGTTTTGTGTTATCAGGCTTTTAGCTGGCAAAATGGAGTAGAGAGTGCATTTATGCTGAGCATTTGCTAATTTCTATGAAGCTGGTAAATAATTTAAAAGAATATGTGCATCAATATATATTAAAGACTGTTTCAGTACAAAATGTATTTGTGTAATAACCTGCTTCCCAAAGAAGAAACTACAGGTCACCGACTATACATACATTTAAAAGAAGTACTGGCTATATTTCACTGCCAGCAATTAGCTGAATTAGACAATTGTTTAAGAAATGTCGTGATGTCCAATAGACACAAAAGAATGGCTTTTGCTGAAAAATGTTAATAAACAGGATAATAATCAGCAAAGATGGAATAGTTATAATAAACTGAGACTGATAAGCCATGACAAGCAGAAGACAAAATGTGATCCATCGATGAGACATTTTGTGATGTGCCACAGTCGTTTCCCAAACGTGCCCATGGAGCCACAAAGGTTGGGGAGCAGGTCTGTGGAGTAGTTCATCCCACAGTGTATTAGGCAGGGTCGTTCTACATACCTAGACAGAGAATAAGACAAAACATGGCTCATTCTCTGGCTATTCAGAAAATATTTTCAGAAAATGTTCTGGAAAAATGAACTTTGAAATACAACTGAAAGTTCACCACTGGCTAGAAATGGCAAGTCTCTGGGGCATTTATGTAACATGTCATTATACGCAGGAGCGGTTAGGAAAACAACAGGGCAGACTCTTCAGCCACAGCCGCGACAGAACCAGGCTGCTCTCTGCTGCTCAGAAGAGGCATGTGCATGCGATGCGACGACAGAGCTCCCGTTCTGCAGAATCAGGTCTCTAAAGCATTCAACCAGCGGAGAGAAGCACTGAGCAGGATGGAGAAAAGCACCTTTTGGGCAAAGCGATCTTATGCAGGCTCCCACAGCATCCAGCACTGAATTCACGCCCAGAGCGCCCGACCCTGCAGCAGGAAGACCCATGCAAACCGCTTTCCTGAGGTTGTAAGTGTGACCTCAGAGAAGGGGTTTGGGGGGTTGGCATGGGGGGAGCAGGGGAGGGGAGCAGCACCACCAAGGCGGGATGCATCCTAGCAGCATCTCGGCCTCCTTCCCCTTTGAAATGCCACAGTTAGCCAAAATCAGCTGTCTAGCTACTTTGCAGGGTGGGAGGAGCACAACAGCGACCTCCTGACCTGCATAGGATGCTCACAATTCCCCAAGTTGGGGGAGTCCCAGGCCAAAGAGGGACTGGGCAACAAGGGGACTGGGCAAAGAACACCTCCTGAAGTCGTTGAAAGAACACTGCATATTCTGCTGCTTTGAGCAGACAAGGCAAATTGTACTTTCCTGTTCTTCTTCACCACTTTCAACCTCATCTTCTTCTTTAGGATGCTGAGAGTTGCTGGATTTTTTTCTGTAACCATACACAGGATTGTGCCTTTTGTGTATGGGGTGCCTTACAGAGTTATATAGAAAGCACAGATAGGTCCCTGTTCCCTAAGAACTTACAATTTAACATTGTAAGACACAGGGAAGGAAGGATGTGACTATTTCATCTTAGACCAAGGATGGGGTACCTTTTTTGCCTTGAGGAGGAAAACCGGCAAGGTTGCCAGCCAGGAGCTGCGGTGGGTGCGGCCAGCCCCCCCCCCCCCCCGACCCATTCACACACCATTTGGGCACAGACACTGCACACAACCAGAGTTTCCAAGGGCCAGAGGAGTTCCCTTGAAAGCTCCTGGACCTACTATATGAGAAACTTCAGAGGGTAAAAAATGCAGGGGGGGGGGGATAGAGGGTACAACCCACCAGAAAATTCTCCTGCTCAGAGAAGCTTTGTGGGAGCACAATGGTTGTTGCTCTCCTGGCTCCTAGAAAATTCTGCAGAGTCTTCTTGTTCAGCTCTTTGGGTCTCTGGAGGTAGAACAGAGATTACTGTTGTTGCTCTGTATGCTTGGTACTCGGGACAGTGGTACTGGAGAAAGATGAACTTAACTTTCTTTCAGTGTTATTTCCCAGCATGCACAGAGCAACAATTTGCTGTATATGGAGGGGTGGGGTGGGCACGGCACTCAGTCCTGGGACAGTTTTGTTCAACATCTTTATTAATGATCTAGATGAGGAAGTCCAGAGAACAATAGTTAAATTTGCAGATGACACGAAACTGGGAAGAATAGCTAACACCCTGGAACACAAAAGAAGGTAACCTAGACAAGCTAGAATTCTGTGCAGAAGGCATGAAATTCAGCAGGGACAAATGCCAAGCTCTCCACCTAGGGGGCAAAATCGCATCGATACAAGATGGAGAATAATAGGCTCAACAGCACTGAAAAAGCAAAGGACTGTGGAGTTGTTGCAGACAACAAGCTAAATATGAGCCACAGCAAAAAGGGCAAATGCTATTTTTGGATGCATAAATAGAAGCTTTACTTCTAGAACAAGAGAGGCACTAGTTCCCCTTAACTCAGCACTTGTCAGACCTCACCTGGAATACGATGTTCAGTTCTGGGCACCTAGGCTTAAAAAGATGCAGAAAAACTTGAAAGGATCCAGAGGAGGGCAACAAAGATGATCCAGGGCCTGAAAACTGAGGGCTACCATGAGAGGCTGACAGAACTGAGCATGTTTAGCCTCAAGAAGAGAATACTATAAAAGGATATTATAACACTCTGCAAGTACCTCAAAGGCTATCTCAAAGAGGAAGGAAATGACCTCTTCTCAGTCATCCCTGATTGTAGGTCATGGAGCAATGAACTTAAACTGCAGCACAGCAGATTCAGGATAGACACCAGGAAGGACTTCCTCACTGTCAGAATAATACAACGGTGGAACCTGTTGCCAAGAGAGCTCATGGCCTCTCCCGCACTAGAGACATTCAAGGTGAAACTGGACAGTCGTCCGAGTGGGATGGTGTGACTGGGCATCCTGCATCAACCCGATGGCCTTCTTGGTCCGCTCTGCCCCTGCTTTTCTATGAATCTATGAAAGCACATGGCACATGCAAGCCCCTTGACCCAGGACTTTAGGCACCTCAGACTGAAGAAAGCTGTCAGAGTCCCTCCTTCTTCTGATTTTTTAAATGAGCTGAGTCATTTTTTTTTTTTAAGCCAGGGAAATTTGTTTAAAGGTGAGCCACAATTTGCAAGAATCATGGCAAAACGTTACACAAATTTCCCTGGCTTTAAAAGCATGCACATATGCGCACACAGTGTAGGCTGCTTAAGACCTGTGTCAGAACAAGTTGGCACCAGCACTGGATTGATGGGCCAGCATCTGGGGGACCAAGCTATGCCAATCCACCAGAATGTGACTCCCTGAACCAGACTGGTCACCCCTCCCTATACGTGGCACCCCTGCATTCTGATGTAGATCAACAGTGCCCCCTAGAGTACATTTGGAACTCTGCCAGGAAGCATAAACGTGTGGAACACTCTGGTTTTATGTATCGAAAATAGACCTTTATCAGTGTTTCATCCAGCTGGAAGCAGACATAAGTTTGGAATCATGAAGAAGGTGGGTCTAGCCACCAAGTAATTCTCTGATTTGTTGGCTAGACCACTAATATCAGGAATGAGAAGTTTCCCATTGCACTGGAAAGGCTCTGCTGGAAACATGGCAAGGTTATTAAGGATCAGCAGGGAGTGCAGAGAACTTTCACAGTGTTCACTGTGAACTGGATAGTTCCTTGAAGCCAGTTCAAGGCCCTTGGCTTGTTAGGAATGCACCAGAGAAAAGTGCTTTGGAGCTGCCTTCCTCTACAGGTAAAGGCTGCTTTTGCTGAGAGGACAAGACTTTGCCCCTCCCCGTCCCCCCTCCCTGTGTGTACTGCCAGCTTCTGTTATTGGCTTGGGGAGAATTGGTACACTGCTTGCCCAGGCAACTCTGAAGGCCCTGGAGCACCGACGGAGCCAGTGCAGCCAGAGGATGGCAGTGTGAGCTCTCCCTCCCTTGTTTATCGTCTACATCTGTATTTCAGCACTGTATTCGATAAATTGTGCGCCACCCATGAGCAGGGCAGTTTTGTTTCTTCCTAAGTATTCTAGAATCTGAAGTGAGACCCCTTGGCTGGATCAGGCCCCTGGGGTCAAAACAGAAAGCAGCAGGCAGGTACTGGTAAGAGGCCAGCTAGGGGCCATTTCAGTTTGTCTCCCAGCAACACCAAAAATGGTCATGCGACCTCTGAGAAAGGCTCTCTGTAGGGAACTCTGCCTATGCTCCAAAACCCACAGTTCTACTACAGTAAGCAAAATGTAGCCAGCTAAGTTAGATCATCTTTATTTAGAATTCTGTGTGTGAGTGTTGCTTTTCCTCCTCCCCACCCTCCAAAATAAACTTTCTTTTTTGTCAGACCTTTGGCTGTATTAGCAGTTTCTCACTAAGTCTTTCCCCCTGTATAAGACCATTCACTTGGTAAAGCACCCCTTGCATTTGAGAACACAAGATGTTCTTAGCATGTGTGTCTCCTGGGCTTTGAGGGAGTAGCTCCAAAGTGCCCTCCTCTCTTGGTCTGGAGGGAAGCACCTTGAGCAGTGGAGCTCAGGTCTCCCCAAGCCTGACAAGGATTTGGGCAAGGATTACTATGTGGAGAGGGCCCATTATTGTTACCTTTGGAGTTCACCTGCAAAGTCACCTCCCTCCCAGAATAGCAACTACAAGGGCTGCATGCCATAGAATAGTAAATTTGGAAGGGACCAGTAGGCCATCGAGTCTAACCCACTGCTATTGCAGGACCCGAGGTTCCACCATCCCACTCAGATAACTGTCCAGAGGCTTTTTGAATGTCTCTAGTGAGGGAAAGCCCACAACTTCCCCAAGTAAAGGGTTCCATTGTCATACTGGTCTGACAGTGTGGAACTTCCTCCTGGTGTCTAGTCTAAATCTAGTTTCTTTTACCTTTATTCTGTGTCCTGCACTCTGGAGTGAAGGAGAAGCGATCTTGTCCTTCCTCTTTGTGACAACCTTTCAGATACCTGCAAAGTCCTTGTTTACAAATGGCAATCCTATATATGAAGGTCTGCTAGTGGACTGTCCTCCATTTGAAGGCAGCCTCCGTTTGAAGGGGGGTTGAAACCAAGTATGATCTAAATTTAAAGAACCACAGAAGGAAGTGAAATGGCCCATTAGCAGTACCTGGACAAAGCAAAACACACAAGGCATAGAATCATAGAATAGTAAGTTGGAAGGGGCCAGGAAGGCCATCAGGTCCAACCCCCTGCTGTTGCAGGACACCACGTTACCCCATCCCACTCAGGTGGCTGTCCAGGTTCTTTGAATGTCTCCAGTGTGGGAGAGCCCACTGCCTCTCTCAGCAAGTGGTTCCACTGTCGATTTGTTCTGACAGTGAGGAAACGTCTAACATCTAGCCTGAATCTGGATTGTCACAACTTGAATTGATTATTCCGTGTCCTACACTCTGGCATCAGCAAGAAGAGATCTTGAATTTCCTTTGTGACAGCCTTTGAAGTACTTATAGAGGGATATCATGTCCCCCCTCAGTCTTCTCTTCTCAAGGCTGACCATGCCCAGTTCTCTCAGTCTCTCCTC